AATTTTGCAAGAAGAAGAAGAAGAAGAATTTGGGCTAGATTCACCGGGCTGCTCCAGCTGTTTATCTGAAATGGCCCAAAGCAGCCGGGACGAACGTAGCTCAAATGCTACTATTCTTTGTAATGTTCACCTCAAAGACAACAGCGAAATGGAGAGTAACAGTGGGGCTCTGTGCTCCTCTTTTTATCCCTCTTGATGGCATCTAAAAAGACCAGATTTTTCAAAAATGTTCATGTTGCTTTTTATTGATCTTGCCTTTTCCAAAGGCCTTATAAAGGATGAATACCTGTTTCAGTGAATGGTGGATCAATTGTTAAAGTATCCATTACTATAGCTTATTAAAACACCTTCCAATGATGTGCTTTATTAATTGAGTCCCATAGCAGCCGCTCCATTATCTTGTCCAGTATCAATGTCAGACCAAGCAGCCTATAATTACCCAAGACATCCTGTTTAGTCTCTAAATACTGGCACAACATAAGCTTCCTTCAAATCTGCTGGATCTTCCCCAGTTAAGTTTCAAGGAGTAAGAACTATAGTCTTAAGCTCAATTATTTAATAGTTCTGTCACAACCGTCAGCTAGTTGTATCCCACACTTTACCGTTTGTAAAATCTCACAAACACTCATTACAGAAGCAGTCGCAGTGCTTGTGTATTAAGGTACCTTAATCACATCAATCCTTACTGAAATGCAGCCTCCTCTGGGGTGAAATGCAACCTCTGTTTAACAGCCCACAGCAACACTACACAGTTTAGAATAATAAATAAATATATTCTCTCTGGTGCACACACAAACACAAATCACTCTTGGGGAAGGAGGTGGCCATGGAGGGGCCAGACTGCTGGGGTTCTACCCTCCCATGTCACCCCAAAGATCTCACTTCTGCAGGCTTTATGCTGCGTGTCTGATTAAACCTCCCCCAGATGCCTGAGTGTGACAGATGATTTATCCACCATGGTATTGACTGCAAATGCTTGCCTTTGGGCATTCAGGACAGGAATCATTAAGGCTGACGAGGCAGGCTTCACATTTACTATTCAGGGGTTTGCTTTACACCGTGGAGTTGCTGTTATCACTATTAATATTGTACTAAGTGCTGTGCAAGCCACAAAAATGAGGAGATCTGTGCCTGGGAGCACTTACAGGCTAACCTTGAGAAGGCAGGATACTAGGGGGGATCCCAGAGGAAGGAAGAACTAAGGCTTTACGTAGACTAGGAAATTTATAGTGGTGTAATTTCATTGTTGCAGTTACTTGCCGCAGTGCAATGCTAATGCACTGATGCAGCTTTCCTGGTGGCAAAGACCCCAGTACAGCCAGGCCCTTATAGCTTGTCTACACAGAGTTACCCTGGAATAGCTATTCTGCTTTAAATTCACACCCTGCCTTCACCCGAATTAGCTTTCAGGAGCAGACAAGCCCCCTGGCCGAGAGGGGCCACTTCATTACCTTCGGAAAACACGGCTGTGCTGACTTAACCCCCCCGAGTGGAGACGTGACTAGGTCAACAGAAGAATGTTTCCGTGGAGCCAGCTACCTCGCTTGGGGCAGCAGGGTCGCTTTCCATGGGGAAACCGGCGGGGCCTATGCTTCGGGGTTATGCCGGCAGACCTAGGGCGCCGCAGCTGTGCCGGTTGAGTCCCTGGAGTGTAGCCAGATCCTAGGATGGTTTTGATCCATCTCCACCAATTCCCAACACAAGCCCGGTTCACCCGGGAGTTTTTACAGTGAATGCGTTTAGCGCTGATGAAAAGGGCCAGCGAGAAACCGAAGCCCTTGGCTTTCCTAGGCAACAGGCAGCGGCAGGGCAAGCCAAGCACCAGGTGACCCGGCCTTAAGCTGGAGGGCGGCTGGGCTCAGTTTCCATTGCCCTTTCTGGCCCTTGCTATGCTGCCGGGGCTGTTCTTTTTGGGATGCAAACACTGGCCGGCGAAGGGACTCGGCTGAGACCCACCCAACCCGTGTCAGGCGGGCCAAAAACCAGGCGGCAGCAGAGGGGACCAGCGGCTGCCGGCCCAGGCTGCGTTCCCTTGGGGACAGGCTCTGCGGAGCGACGCCCTCAGCAAAGGATTAAACCCCCGGGCAGCCTTCGGGCGGCGCTGGGCGCGGGGCCGGAACGGGCCGCCCGGCAGCAGGGGCCAGGGAGAGTCTCGGCAGCCAGCGCCGCCCTCCGAGCCCGGGGCGCCCCGTCCGAGAGCCAATCCCCGCAGGGCTCTGCCCGCCCCTTTGCCGGGGGCAGCCAATCCCCGCAGGGCTCTGCCCGCCCCTTTGCCGGGGGCAGCCAATCCCCGCAGAGCTCTGCCCGCCCCTTTGCCGGGGGCAGCCAATCCCCGCAGAGCTCTGCCCGCCCCTTTGCCGGGGGCAGCCAATCCCCGCAGGGCTCTGCCCGCCCCTTTGCCGGGGGCAGCCAATCCCCGCAGGGCTCTGCCCGCCCCTTTGCTGGCCAGAGCCAATGCCCGCAGAGCTCTGCCCGCCCCTTTGCCGGCGAGAACCAATCCCCGCAGGGCTCTGCCCGCCCCTTTGCCGGGGGCAGCCAATCCCCGCAGGGCTCTGCCCGCCCCTTTGCCGGGGGCAGCCAATCCCCGCAGAGCTCTGCCCGCCCCTTTGCCGGCGAGAACCAATCCCCGCAGGGCTCTGCCCCGCCCCACCCAGCGAGAGCCAATCCCAGGAGGGTTCTGCCGTTGGGTTCGGCCGCTCGAGGTCCTGCCCCTGCGGAAACGCGCCCTGCGAGGAGCGGCGGTGAGTGCGGGCAGGGGGCTCCCGGCAGCGGCCGGCCGCGCGCGGCCACCGGACTACATTTCCCAGCATGCACCCGGGCGGGCGCGGGCTTAGAGCTACGTCCTCGCGTGCCCGTGCGGCCCGAGCGCCTCTGGGTCCTCTCCGTGCACCGCTGAGCCCCCCCGTCCCGGTGCCTCCCCCTCCCCCGCCGGCACCGCCCTGCAGCTCCCCGCCCCGGACCCTCAGGGCACCCCCTGCCTCTCCCCCCTGGACCCCAGTGTGCCCCACACGCCCTGGGCCGCTGTCCTCTCCCTGCAGCCCCCCCATGCAACCCCCCTTCTTAGTGCCACCCCCCTTCTCAGTGCCACCCCCTGCATCCCCCCCACCCCGAGACCCCAGTGTGCCCCACACGCCCTGGGCCGCTGTCCTCTCCCTGCAGCCCCCCCATGCAACCCCCCTTCTCAGTGCCACCCCGTGCATCCCCCCCCCCAGACCCCAGTGTGCCCCACACGCCCTGGGCCTCTGTCCTCTCCCTGCAGCCGCCCCATGCAACCCCCCCTTCTCAGTGCCACCCCCTGCATCCCCCCACCCCGAGACCCCAGTGTGCCCCACACGCCCTGGGCCGCTGTCCTCTCCCTGCAGCCCCCCCATGCAACCCCCCCTTCTTAGTGCCACCCCCTGCCTCTCCCCCCGAGACCCCAGTGTGCCCCACACGCCCTGGGCCGCTGTCCTCTCCCTGCAGCCCCCCCATGCAACCCCCCCTTCTCAGTGCCACCCCCTGCCTCTCCCCCCTGGACCCCAGTGTGCCCCACACGCCCTGGGCCCTGTCCCTCCCCCCCCCCCTCAACCCCCCTTCTCAGTCCACCCCCTGCCTCTCCCCCTGACCCCAGTTGCCCCACACGCCCTGGGCCGCTGTCCTCTCCCTGCAGCCCCCCCATGCAACCCCCCCCTTCTTAGTGCCACCCCCTACACCCCCCACCCCGAGACCCCAGTGTGCCCCACACACCCTGGGCCTCTCTCCTCTCTCTGCAGCCCCCCCATGCAACCCCCCTTCTCAGTGCCACCCCCTGCATCCCCCCCCCAGACCCCAGTGTGCCCCACACGCCCTGGGCCTCTGTCCTCTCCCCTGCAGCCCCCCCATGCCACCCCCCTTCTCAGTGCCACCCCCCTTCTCAGTGCCACCCCCTGCATCCCCCCCCGAGACCCCAGTGTGCCTCACACACCCTGGGCCGCTGTCCTCTCCCTGCAGCCCCCCCATGCAACCCCCCCCTTCTCAGTGCCACCCCCTGCCTCTCCCCCCGAGACCCCAGTGTGCCCCACACGCCCTGGGCCTCTCTCCTCTCCTTGCAGCCCCCCCATGCAACCCCCCTTCTCAGTGCCACCCCGTGCATCCCCCCCCCCGAGACCCTAGTGTGCCCCACACGCCCTGGGCCTCTGTCCTCTCCCTGCAGCCCCCCCATGCAACCCCCCCTTCTTAGTGCCACCCCCTACACCCCCCCCCCGAGACCCCAGTGTGCCCCACACCCCTGGGCCTCTGTCCTCTCCCTGCAGCCCCCCCATGCAACCCCCCTTCTCAGTGCCACCCCGTGCATCCCCCCCCGAGACCCCAGTGTGCCCCACAGGCCCTGGGCCTCTGTCCTCTCCCTGCAGCCCCCCTTCTTAGTGCCACCCCCCACCCCCCCGATACCCCAGTGTGCCCCACACCCCCTGGACCTCTGTCCTCTCCCTGCAGCCCCCCCTGCAACCCCCCTTCTTAGTGCCACCCCCTGCATCCCCCACCTGATACCCCAGTCTGCCTCACACCCTCTGGGCCTCTGTCCTCTCCCTGCAGCCCCACCATGCAACCCCCCTTCTCAGTGCCACCCCGTGCATGCCCCCCCCGAGATCCCAGTGTGCCCCACACACCCTGGGCCTCTGTCCTCTCCCCTGCATCCCCCCATGCAACCCCCCTATCTTAGTGCCACCCCCTGTATCCCCCCCGAGACCCCAGTGTGCCCCACATGCCCTTGGCCTCTGTCCTCTCCCCTGCAACCCCCCTTCTTAGTGCCACCCCCTGCATCCCCCCCCTGAGACCCCAGTGTACCCCACATGCCCTGGGCCTCTGTCCTCTCCCCTGCAGCCCCCCCATCCACCCCCCATATCTTAGTGCCACCCCTTACATCCCCCCCCGAGACCCCAGTGTGCCCCACACACCCTGGGCCTCTGTCCTCTGCCCCCCCATGCAACCCCCCCAATCTTAGCGCCACCCCCTGCGACCCACCCAGCTCTGACCCCGCCAGCTCTGAGCAGGGGTGTGGTGCCGCAGCTGCCTGGAGTGTCCCTCGGGCATCTGAGGTGCAGGACCGAGCTCTGCGCCCGCCCGTCAGAAAGCCGCGCTCTGGCAGCTCTGCCTGGCCATGGTCTGAGCCGCCCCATGCGCCTGCCCAGCTCGGCAGGTGAAGCCCAGTGCCTGGGGGCACCGGGCAAGGAAGAGGGCAGGGCATTGGGGGAGAAGCAGAGCGAGCACCGTCTGTCATTGCCCACCCGAAAGTCAGGGCCCACCCAGATTTCCCCTCCTAGCTATGCCGCTGCCCCCCCTGGGCCTCAGTGCATTCCCTGCACTCCTCCTTCAGCTGCTCCATCATTCCTGCCCACAGCTCCTCCCTCAGCCCCTGAGCCACCCCCTGTGACTTCCCTTACATCATCTGTGCATTGCCCCAAGGGCCTGCTTCCTTGACACACCTGGGACCTCGCCAGTCCCACCATACTGACCCAGCATAGTCAGAGTGCCATGCGTCCCTGCTATGCCCTGGCAACGCTGTGCCATGTCTTGCTCTCAGAACATCCTGCAGTGCAGTCAGGTTGCCGCCATGTGCTTCTATGGCGACTCCATGCCATCCCCGGATCATGTGAGCCTGTCACGCCTGGCTGCAGGGGGCTCCACATCTTCTTTCCCAGCCTCAACTGCCCCTCCTGGGGATGGGGAAAGGAGCCCCACCCCCAAATGCCCTGCTCTGAGGGGCACGGGGAGTGAGAGGCGAGGCTGGGGTTGATGGTGCCTCTCATTTCCCTCCTATTCCTGTTATTCCAAACCTTTGGGAAGAGGGGAATGCCCCTCCCAGCTGGCTGTAGAGGGGCCCTAGTACCCCTGAACCTCATGCTCCGATACCCTGTGATGATCACTCACCGCTTGTGTGTCCTTCCTTAGGATGCAGCATTATGGTTCACGCATTCCTCATCCATACACTGCACCCTCGGCCCGGGGAAGAGGCTGGGCTCTGCCGGGTGCTGTATTCCAGGGTCTTTGGCTCTGAGAGGCTGGACCAGTCACCAGAGGAGTCCGGGCCGCATGATCTCGAGAAGGAGAGACTGGGCAGGAAGGAGCAGATTTTGGCTGTGGCAAGGTAAAAGATTCACCCCCATCTGAATGTGACAGCGCTGGGGGGCCAGACTAGATGACCTCCTGAGGTCCCTTCCAACCCTGATATTCTATGATTCTATGTAAGGAGGGGAGTTAGTGTTCTAGAATCTAGCATACGTCTACACTGCAAAGAAAAAGACCTGTGGCAGCAAGACTCAGAGCCCAGGAGCTCATGCTGCTGGGCTAAAGGTAGCAGTGGAGACCTTCGGGCGAGCAAAGGGGAAAGTTAGGAACCATAAGGAAAGGGATAGAGAATAAGGCAGAAAATATCATCTTGCCCCTAGATAAATCCATAGTACGCCCCACCTTGAACACTGTGTGCAGAGCTGGTCGTCCCAATAGATATATTAGAACTGGAAAAGGTTCAGAAAAGGGCAACAAAAATGTTGAGGGGTATGGAACGGCTTCCATAGGAGGAGAGATTAATAAGACTGGGACTTTTCAGCTTGGAAAAGAGACGACTAAGTGGGGAGATGACTTAGGTCTATACAGTCATGGCTGGTGTGGAGAAAGTGAGTAAGGACGTGTTATTTACTCCTCATAACACAAGAATCGGGGTCAGCCAATGAAATTACTAGGCAGTAGATTTAAAACACACAAAAGGAAGTATTTCTTCACACTGTGCACAGTCAACCTGAGGAACTCATGCCAAGGGATGATGTGAAGGCCAAAAGTATAACTGGGTTCAAAAGTTCATGGAGGATGGGTCCACCAATGGCTATTAGCCAAGATTTTCAGGGATGCAACCCCATGCTCTGCGTGTCCCTACCCTCTGTTTGCCAGAAGCTGGGACTGGGTGACCGGCGATGGATTGCTCACTAATTGTCCTGTTCTGTTCATTCCCTCTGGGGCACCTGGCATTGGCCGCTGTCGGAAGACAGGAGACTGGGCTAGATGGACCTTTGGTCTGACCCAATCTGGCCGTTCTTACGTCTTAGAGCCCTGGCTCCAGCCCGATCCTGAATGTCTGAGCTACTCTTTTTAGCCTCATAACGTGAGCCCCGTGAGTCTGAGTCAGTTGACTCAGCTTCTGAGACTTGCTACCATGGGTCTTTTTTGGTAGGGTAGATGTACCCTTAGACTCTAGAACAGGGTCCCTTATTCCCTGCTGGGGAGAGGAGGGAATGTGAACGTCCCAGGGAGCTCTTTATAAAGTAAAATACCCCAGCTGTTCTCTGTGCTTCATCCCAGAGAGAAAGGCTTGGTACGTCCCTTCCAGCCCACCCACGGCCCAGAGCAGGCTTGTTCTGTGGGGCTTTGTTTTGTCTGGTTTTAAACTTCCCAAGCGATGGGGCTCCCACATGTTCCCCTTGGGGGATGAATCTGCAGCCTGTGTCATCTTGCTGTCAGGCAGGCCTTCCAGAGATGTTCAGGTCCCGTTTTCTTTTCTTAATCCCATCCTCTTATAAAATGACTTGTGATTCTGCCTCTCTCTCTGTTTCTGGCCTTTCCCAGGCAGGTGGATTCAACATGTAAACTGCTGCACCAGGCGTCAGGGCGCCCTGCCTCTGACTTCCCCATCCAGCTGCCCGACGAGCCAATTTCCCTCCAGGATGCCCCATCCGGGGTGTTCCGCCTCCCTCCCGGGGATCCCTTCTGTGAGAACAAGATGGTGCTCTGGCTAGGGGTCCTGTCTCTGGGCTTTGCTCTGGTGTGTGATCCCCAGGAGAACCTGATGCTGGCTGAGAACACCCTGCGGCTGGTGGTGAAGTATCTCCTGGAGCATCTGAAGCTGCTAAGCCAGGGCAGCAACGTGGTCCTCAAGGCAGACAAGACCGAGATCATCCTGAGCAAATTCCTGCCCCATGGGCAGTTGCTCTTCCTGAATGATCAGTTTGTCCAGGGACTGGAAAAGGAGCTGGTTGCCTGTCTGTCCAAGTAGAAGGCTCTTAGTGGAACAAGCCATCCAGACAGCATGAACACTGGGAGGGGCGGAGGGTGCACTGTCGTTTAAAGGAGACACATCAAGGTTGGTAACTGTGGCCCTAGTAGGTTTTATTATCATCGTCCTGGCCATACAGCATGTCCTGCTGGCTGCATCCCCCCAAGGGACCCACTGAAATCTCCTGTCCCACAGTGGAGGCAGTTGCAGCCGTTAGAGGGAGGGGGAGATGTGCGTGCGGTTGGGTGATCTGTACTTGTCCCCTGCTTGAAACGATTGCTCAGTTCCTATTTTCAATAAACTAGGCTCGGCTGGGAGAAACCCGCCTGCGTCACGCACTGCGCAAGGGAGTCCTGTTTCCTTGTCAGTGTGAGCTGAGGAATGGGGCGAGGAGCTGGCCTCTTGGATCTTTGGCAGATGGGTGGAGCCCCACCCTTGGGAACAATAGCCACCCTCCTCCACAGGGGAAAGGGCCACACAAACAAAGGGCCACACAAACAAATGGGGGATGTCTTGGGGCAAATGTAAAGCAGGGCTAGGAGTGAGGTCAGCCAAGGTGGGATGCCTGACAAAGCACCCCAAACAACGCTCACTGCTCTGGGAGGATGGGGAGGGAGCAGCTGATGCTCCCCAGAGGAGCTCTGGGCAGACTGTGACTCAGAAAAGGCCTCATAATCCCTGAGCACCTCCTTGTCCATCTTCCCCCTCCTAGACAGATGGGCGGCCATCTTGGCCAGCACTAAGAGGGGGCTGAGGAGGCCTCTGGCCCTAGTGGAGCTGCAGATGGGGGGCAGGGGTAGAAGACAACAGAGTCTGCACAGCAGAACCAAGCTCAGAAAGTGGCTTTGATTCTCCACTGAGACAATAACATTCTTTTATCTGGGAAATGTGGTCACCCGACTCAAAATACAACCAATTTCCAATAATTCCTGGCCCTTTAAGGAAACTAGTCCCTCCCGGGTCCTGAAGCAAAGCAATTACTGCTGCAACTCTGAGCACATCCTCAAGAAAGAAGAATTTCCAAGGGATGCAGAAGACTCACTCTGCTGTCAAGATACAGTTATGATGGCTTTGGAACTGGGCTATTACTGTGAAAAGCGAGGGCCGGGTTCCAGTCTCACACCAGTCTGATTCTATTGTCTTGAGTTACTCCTGTGTATGAGAGACCAGAATCAGACCCCGAGAGTATAAACCCAGCTCAGGATTCTTTTCCCTATCTAATTGCAGCCTGGCATGAGGATTGCAGCCTTAAGAAGTGTGTCATGACACTGTCCCTTCCAAAAATCGTGGGGATGCTTTTAATGGCCTTCTGGCTATTGGGGAAGGTTCTGGGCAGATTCTGCATAGCTGGGTTGAGGGTGAGCCCAATTTAGAATAACTTCTTTCCTCTCAAAAGTGTCTGAAATGGGCAATTCTTAATTTATTGGAGAGTTTTTGGTACCTCTGCTTCACTTGCTGTTCTGTTTTCCTTTAATATGGGCACACTAGCAAAAATACGTGATTATTTTAAAGAACTCTGACTCCGAGTCTGTCATCTCAGAGCTTAGTTAATGCTTAATATTGAGAAGCAATTAACCATTGGGACAACTTACTGAGGAATGTGGTGGATTCTCCATCTCTTGATGTCTTTAAATCAAGATTGGATGGCTTTTTAGAATTCATGCTGTATCTCAACCACAAGCTGTGGGCTCGATGCATGGGTAACTGGGTGACCGTCTCTGGCCGGTGTTATACAGGAGGACAGACTAGATGATCACAGTGATTCTAGCCTTGGGATCTACGTAAAACACATTACCAAGAGCAGGGCGACTAACCCAGGGCCAGGCTGCTTTGAGCAAGTGGTAACTGACTCGAGCATTTCACATCTAGGTCAACAATTGAAATCCACTCCAGCGGGCAGTGGCTGAAGGTTGTTGCCAGCTGGTTGCTGTTCATCATCTTCTGTGGAAATAATTTTGTGGTCCCGGTAGAGAGGTGCCCCCAAACCAGCACCATGATTGGTAGCTATTTGTTAAGAACTGAGTGGGTCTCAGAGATGGATCTACCCCATCTCCGGTGAGGAGCTACCCCATCTCGTGTTGGTAGAGGTCCATCAGCAGAGCTACTTGCTGTAGAGATCAATCCTAAGAGCTGTCATCTTTCTCCCAGTATTAAATGCCTTTGGAAATAAATATTACACGTCTTTGAAGGAAGAGCAGCCTAAGATGCAGAAAAATAACAGATTGGGTCCTTCCAAGGAAGTGACAGGTTTGGGAGGGACTGCTCCTGTTGGGTTGGAATGGACAGACACGTTTTGATACGTGGCACAGCGGCGCAGGGATTGGAGAATTTGAACAGCTGTTGAAGCTGGTCTCCTAGCTGAGCCTGAATTTATCTCCTCAGTGGCCCACATATATTTGGTGACATATCTTGCTTACCATATACAACTGGACGTTTTAAATGTGTATATAGATGGTTCTGACATCATCATAACATCTCATTCAAAGGTGCAAAAATTAGAAATTCAAGTCAGGCAAATAATTATTTATTGGGTGATTCTGAAACAATAACTCTATGATCCAAGGACTTTATTTTGTGACAGACCTGGAAACAGACAAATTACAGAGCCATGCACACTGAGCGGCATACGGGCAGCTGTCTCTGCTACAGCAGAAATATCACACCAAGACAAAGCGTCCCTGCAATGCACATGCCAAGCGGCCCCTGCCACTGCACAGGGCTCCTCATTGGCAGGTGGCTGGAAAACATGCTCCATAGCTTGGAAATTAAGGCACTTTCTGAGGTGCTGGGAACTGCATGTCACAGCTCAGCCTGTCCATGGGCCTGCTTACAAATCCACCTAGAAGGCAGAGTGCAGTTGGCATCATTCCACCACTTTAGCTCCATTGTGCGGATCTCAACACAGTCTTCTCTGCCTCCTGTCTCCTGATGCCAGTTGTCTGGCTGATTCTCCTCCCAGAACCTACAGATCAGAGTGTTAATGTCTCAGTGGAGAACCACAGCCAGTTCCTGAGCTCAGTTCTGCTCTGTGGACTCTGTTGTTGGCAGGGGACCACGACACCCAGAAATGACGCGGTGACCCCTCAGAGTTCTCCACAGCACTCGTGGCCATGGTAACGAAGGGATTCTGAGGACAAGGGGTAGCAACTGCCCTGCGCCTGATGAGCCAGCAAAGAGCCAAAGTCAGTTTGTGGCTCCAAATGCTGAGCAGCAGCAGCTCAGATCTCAGTGCCCAGAACCAAAGCACGTGGCCCAGCACGTCCCAGGATCACCCCGAGGTGGGAACGCAGGAACGGAGAGAGAGGGCAGCAGGGGTCATTCATTAACTTCTCCATGGCCCTGGTTATGGGACTCGTCCACAGCCCACTGAGGTCATTGCACCGACTGCAGCTGGCTCCGGCCAGGCCCCCGGGCCCTACAGCCTCCCCTTCCCCAGCCGGAGAGAGAGGAGAGCGCAGAGCAATCCCAAGGAGAGCGCTGAACCCTGCCGCTCACGCCAGACTGACCTGGCTGTACTGAGTTGACTTGGGGCCAGATCCTCAGCTGGTGTAAATGGATGTGGTTCATTCAAGTCAATGCCGAGTTACCCCAGGTGAGGCTCTGGCCCTTGGTCTCAGTGGGCACAGAACACACACTCCGTGTTTAGGCTCTTGCTCTAAGCAAAGGGGCATTAGTAGAAATTCCTGAGAGGATTAATTGCTGTTGGGTGACAGCGCCCAGGGGCCTCCCTCAGGATCGGGCCCACTGTGCCGGGTGCTGCATAGACGCAAGGGGCCGTACAGACGCTGCCTGAAAGAGCTGGTGACCAAACGTGTAATAAATAATCACGTATCTCCAGCTTTACTCACCCCCTGCTTGCGTCTGCTCTGAATTCTGTGCCATCCACCCAGCGCCAGCTGCCTTCTGTCCCCCGGTCGGTGAGTCCAATCCAGTGACTTTCTCCCTTGCTCTCGTTGGAGAGAAACTCCTGCACGACACAGTTTGCAGCGTGTCCAGGTCACTCAAGAGAGGCTGCAGGATGCAGCCACAGCTGCCTGGGCTGAGCAGATTTTGGGCGAGAGGAAAGGGCGTCCGGTGGTGTGAACAGGGCACTGGGCAGCGGGAGACATGGTGTCCAGCCCCAAACGCTGACAGTGACTAGCTGGGCAACCCCGAGGGAGTCCTGGAGCAGCTCTGTGTCTGTGTCTGCATCTGTATCCGAATGGGGCTAACAACAGCGACCTGTCTCAGAACGCTCCCCACCACGGCCGCCTCAGAGCTGGGTGCGGCAGTTACTGACGGGCACCTCAGAGTTCACATCGGCCCCCTGCCCTTGGAGGCGGCAAAGCTAGGAGCAGAGAACTGGGTGCAAAGTCTGGCCCTGCAGAAGGGTGGGATTTTCCTCCTCAGAAAGTGCCCCAGAGGCCTGGGGTGAGGGCTACCGTGGGCACGTGGGGAGAGAGGATTCTCTGAGAGGCACATGGCCCCTTGCTCACAAGCCTTCCAGATACAGGCTTCTAGATTGTCCAGCAGGAGCTCAGGACTGGGGAGAGGGATCAAAGCGAGTCCTCACTGGAAAAGTCATTGGGGTTGCAGAAAATGCTACATTGGAAGTAGGGAAAATCAGAAATGAGCCTGACCCCAAATCCCCCTCCCCTGGTACCCCTGACTCTGATCCTGGCACTGTTCCTCTGCCCATCTCTGCTTTTAAACTGATGGGTGAATCCCCTGAGTCAGGTTCCAAGGCTTGGCATCCTCTCCGATGGTTTGCCACAAGGCATGTTGCAGATTTGCTACCTCAGCTGCCACCTTCCACCTCCTTCTGGTACGAAACAAGGCACTGACCCATTATCCAAGCCCCTAGGAGGTTCCCTCACTCACCTGTTCCACCGGGGAGGAGACAGAGGTCAGGTGCGAGTCCTGAGACACACAGAACCGCTCGGCCTCGTCCCACGGCTTTTTTTCTTGTGAAAAGTAATAGAAGTTCCCACCATAAAACCTCCAGCCTCTGGAGAGCTTTGTCAGCACATAACCTAGGAGCAGAGACTGAGGTGAGAAACCTGGGCTAAAGTCACAGGGACACACGCAGGGAGCTCAGGGATTCTAGTGCTGCATTCCCCTTCAACTGCCCCAAGCTCAGGGAACTTCTGAATCCTGATTCTCCAGCACCACAGTGGATAACTTTCATGGCCCTAGGAAGAATCCCAAAGAGCACTGCAGAAAGCAGACACCACGGGGTGCAGCTGCATCTGGGGTGGACTATGGGCACTGGTCCCAGTGCAGAGCAGCAGGGCTGTAATGGGAAAGGGGAGATTCATTGTTCAGCTGAGCTGGCAGGGGGAATTCAGGAGGGGGAATGTAGCTGCCCAAGGTGGAACACCCCCTGGTTCTGTATCAACAATTTTCAGTGATTGTAAGTGGTGAAGGTCTCGGGTCTTTCGCACTTGGGCACCTCCCCCCACACCCTGCAGGGGGCGCTGGCTTGGTGAAAGTAACGCCCCATACACTGAAATGCCAGCATCACTTTTCGCCTGTGACCGGACAGGTTTGGAGCATCTAAGAAGGGCTGGTAGCTGGGTGCTCCCGTTAGGCTAACGAGGCCCAGGGCGTAAGTGAACTGCACCCTGATCACCACGGTGTGGGCACAGGTGCAGCCACAGGTGATGTTTAATGAACGAGAACTCGGTGCTGGTGGAAGGCGCTGCGCTCACAGCCTTGGAGCTGAAATGCTCCGTTCATCCTCAGCACCAGGAGAGACGGCACCAGCCGGCTCTGCAGCTAGTACTTACTGCAGCGACCTTGCCCTGCTGCTTGCGCTGCGCTGACGTTGTCCAGACGGGTCTGGATTTCTCCATACGCTGCACTGACGTGACCCAGCTGGTCTTTCAGCACCCGGACTCCTGCCAGCGCTTCATCCAGGAGCTGCAGACCTAGCAGAAAGTCACAGCGACTTCAGTGGAGATGCAGAACTCTTGATTACCAGCACATGTAGTAGAGCAGCACCTGCAGGCCCCTGTGTGCCAGGCGCTGTACAGACAGGAGGGGACAGTCCCTGCTCTCAACAGCTCACAGTCAAAGTAGACTCTAGGTGGGAGAAATAAAGGATGATTTTCCTGCTGGGAAACTGAGGTGCAGGGAGGCGGGCCCAGGATCACACAGGAAGTTTGCAGCAGAGCGGGGAATTGAACCCAGCTCTCCTGAACTCTAGCCCTGTACCCCCAATCTACCCAGCCTCCTCCTCCCCATTCGCTCCTACCTTGTGAGCTGTGAGTGGGTCGCATGTGGCAGAGCTGGGGCTGCAGGAACATCCACGGACCTGAGCCATGGCACTGGGCTCCAGGCCGGGATTTTCAACAGCCCAGCTTTGGGGTGTGCTCTGTGCCGGGGTTTTAGTTTATAGATTCATAGATTCATAGATATTTAGGCCAGAAGGGACCATTATGATCATCTAGTCTGACCTCCTGCACAACGCAGGCCACAGAATTTCACCCACCACTCCTAAAAAAGACCTCACACCTATATCTGTGCTATTGAAGTCCTCAAATTGTAGTTTGAAGACCTCAAGGAGCAGAGAATCCTCCAGCAAGTGACCCGTGCCCCATGCTACAGAGGAAGGCGAAAAACCTCCAGGGCCTTCCAATCTGCCCTGGAGGAAAATTCCTTCCCGACCCCAAATATGGCGATCAGCTAAACCCTGAGCATATGGGCAAGATTCATCAGCCAGATACTACAGAAAATTCTTTCCCAGTTAACTTGGATCTTACCCCATCTAAAAACCCATCACAGGCCATTGGGCCTATTTACCATGAATATTTAATTACCAAAACCATGTTATCCCATCATACCATCTCCTCCATAAACTTATCGAGTTTAATCTTAAAGCAAGATAGATCTTTTGCCCCCACTACTTCCCTCGGAAGGCTATTCCAAAACTTCACTCCTCTGATGGTTAGAAACCTTCGTCTAATTTCTAATCTAAATTTCCTAGTGGCCAGTTTATATCCATTTGTTCTTGTGTCCACATTGGTACTGAGTTTAAATAATTCCTCTCCCTCTCTGGTATTTATCCCTCTGATATATTTATAGAGAGCAATCATATCTCCCCTCAACCTTCTTTTAGTTAGGCTAAACAAGCCAAGCTCCCTGAGTCTCCTTTCATAAGACAAGTTTTCCATTCCTCGGATCATCCTAGTAGCCCTTCTCTGTACCTGTTCCAGTTTGAATTCATCCTTCTTAAACATGGGAGACCAGAACTGCACACAGTATTCCAGGTGAGGTCTCACCAGTGCCTTATATAATGGTACTAAAACCTCCTTATCCCTACTGGAAATACCTCTCCTGATGCATCCCAAGATGACATTAGCTTTTTTCACAGCCATATCACATTGGCAGCTCATAGTCATCCTATGATCAACCAATACTCCAAGGTCCTTTTCCTCCTCCGTTACTTCTAGTTGATGCGTCCCTAGCTTATAACTAAAATTCTTGTTATTAATCCCTAAATGCATGACCTTACACTTCTCACTATTAAATTTCATCCTATTCCTATTACTCCAGTTTACAAGGTCATCCAGATCCTCCTGTAGGGTATCCCTGTCCTTCTCTAAATTAGCAATACCTCCCAGCTTTGTATCATCTGCAAACTTTATTAGCACATTCCCACTTTTTGTGCCCAGGTCAGTAATAAAAAGATTAAATAAGATTGGTCCCAAAACTGATCCTTGAGGAACTCCACTGGTAACCTCCCTCCAACTTGACAGTTCACCTTTCAGTAGGACCCGTTGTAGTCTCCCCTTTAACCAATTCCCTATCCACCTTTCAATTTTCCTATTGATGCCCATCTTATCCAATTTAACTAATAATTCCCCATGTGGCACAGTATCAAACGCCTTACTAAAATCTAAGTAAATTAGATCCACTGCGTTTCCTTTATCTAAAAAATCTGTTACTCTCTCAAAGAAGGAGATCAGGTTGGTTTGGCACGATCTACCTTTTGTAAAACCATGTTGTATTTTGTCCCATTTACCATTGACTTCAATGTCCTTAACTACCTTCTCCTTCAAAATTTTTTCCAAGACCTTGCATACTACAGATGTCAAACTAACAGGCCTATAATTACTTGGATCACTTTTTTTTCCCTTTCTTAAAAATAGGAACTATGTTAGCAATTCTCCAATCATACGGTACAACCCCTGAGTTTACAGATTCATTAAAAATTCTTGCTAATGGGCTTGCAATTTCTTGTGCCAATTCTTTTAATATTCTTGGATGAAGATTATCTGGGCCCCCCGATTTAGTCCCATTAAGCTGTTTGAGTTTCGCTTCTACCTCAGATATGGTGATGTCTACCTCCATATCCTCATTCCCATTTATCATGCTACCATTATCCCTAAGATCCTCTTTAGTCTTATTAAAGACTGAGGCAAAGTATTTGTTTAGATATTGGGCCATGCCTAGATTATCCTTGACCTCCACTCCATCCTCAGTTTTTAGCGGTCCCACTTCTTCTCTCTTTGTTTTCTTCCTATTTATATGACTATAGAACCTTTTACTATTGGTTTTAATTCCCTTTGCAAGGTCCAACTCTACTTGACTTTTAGCCTGTCTCACTTTATCCCTACATATTCTGACCTCAATAAGGTAGCTTTCCTTACTGATCCCTCCCTTCTTCCACTCCCTATATGCTTTCTGCTTTTTCTTAATTACCTCTCTAAGATGCTTGCTCATCCAGCTTGGTCTACAACTCCTGCCTATGAATTTTTTCCCCTTTCTTGGGATGCAGGCTTCCGATAGCTTCTGCAGCTTTAATTTAAAATAATCCCAGGCCTCCTCTACCTTTAAACCCATAAATTCTTCAGTCCAATCCACTTCCCTAACTAATTTCCTTAATTTTTGAAAGTCAGCCCTTTTGAAATCAAAAACCCTAGTTGCAGATTTATTTTTGTTAATCCTTCCATTCAGTTTGAACTGAATTAGCTCATGATCACTTGAGCCAAGATTATCCCCTACAACCATTTCCTCTATGAGGTCCTCATTACTCACCAAGACCAAATCTAAAATGGCATCCCCTCTAGTCGGTTCAGCAACTACTTGCTGAAGGAATCCATCAGCTATTGCATCTAGGAAAATCTGATCCCTATTATTATTACTAGCACTCGTCCTCCAGTCTATATCTGGGAAGTTAAAGTCTCCCATGATCACACAGTTTCCATTAGTATTTACTTTATTAAAAACATTAAAAAGGGCTCTATCCATATCCAAATTAGATCCCGGCGGTCTATAGCACACCCCAAGCACTATCCCAGGGGAGGCTCTAATAGTTTTCTTCCCCAATTTAATTGTTGCCCAGACAGACTCGGTCATATCCATTTCATCGCTTCTTATTTCTTCTTAGTTCAGGCCCATCTTCTGATTGGACGCTGAATAACCTGATCCAGAGCCCGGTTTGTATGTCCAGCCCTGTGTCCGATAGACAGACAGTTGTGACACGTGGCCACAAGAGGGCGCCCTGCTTCCAGCAATGAGTCTGTGGCAGTTACCCGAATTATGGTAGCTGCATGGGAAGGGCTCGGGGACTGGGGTAGGGGACACGTTGAGACCCACGAGTGCAGCTCCACGGGCGTCCTGCTTACCCCAGGGACTGAACTGGGCCCTGTGTGTCTCATGAGCTGCATCTGTCTTTCCCGCGAATGCAGTCCTGACAGTACGGGGGCCCTGGTGAAAACTATGGAGCGAAGGAAGCAACAGGGACAGGACGGAAGACGTTGACCACTAGGCAAACTGTTTAGGAGCATGGGACGGATGCAGCCAGCCTGCCATGGCCAGGAAGGGCGCTAGGAGGGAACCTGGAGCAGCCCCCCACCCCTGGGAACAGAGCCTCTGTTGGCAGAGGAATGTGCAGAGCAGCAGCTCAT